CTCAGCCCTGGTGAGGCCACATATGGAATGCTCTGTCCAGGTCTGGGCACCTCAGTACAAGAGAGACATGGAGCTTCTGGAGAGGGTCCAGCAGAGGGCTACAAAGATGATTAAGAGACTGGAACACCTCACTTATCAGGAAAGGCTCAGGGAGCCTTTGGACCTGTTCAACTTGGAGAAGAGATGACTTAGGGGATCTTATCAATGTATATAAGTATCTGAAGGGAGACTGTCAAGAGGATGAAGCTGGGCTCTTCTTGGTGGTGCCAAGCAATAGGATGAGAATAAACAGGCAGAAACTGGAATGGAGGAAGTTCCACCTGAACATGAGGAAGAATTTCTTTACCGCACACTGGAACAGGTTGCCCAGAGACACTGTGGAGTCTCCTTCCCTGGTGATATTCAAGAACCATCTGGATGCAATCCTGAGTAATGTATTCTAGGGCCCTCGCTTGAGCAGGGAGGTTGGACTAGTCAACTTCCAGTGGTCCCTTCCAACCTTACCCATTCTGTGATTCTGTGATTCTGTGATTCTGTGATTCTTCGATTCTGTGACTACGTTAAAACACAGAAAACAAGGAGGAGATTAGAGACACAGACAATATGACTTCACCAAAGGCAAATCATGCCTGACTAATCTAGTATTCTTCTACAATGGAGTGACAGCATCAGTAGAAAAGGGCAGAACTATGGATGTCATCTACCTGGACTACTGTAAAGCCTTTGATATGGTCCCCCACAACATTCTGGACACTAAATTGGAGAGATATGGGTTTGATAGATGGACTGTTAGATGGATAAGAAACTGTCCACATCTGAAGAGTTACAGTGAATGGTTCCATGTCCAAATGGAGATCAGTGACTAGTGGTGTCCCTCTGGGGCTATTACTGGGACCAATACTGTTTAATATCTTCATCATTGACACACAGAGTGGGATTGAGTGCACCCTCAACAAGATTCCAGATGACACCAAGCTGAGTGATGCAGTGGATTTACTATATGGCATCCAGAGGGACCTTGGCAGGCTTGAGAAGTGGGTCCATGTGAACCTCCCAAAGTTCAACAAGGCTAAGTGCAAGGTCCTACACCTGGTTCGAGGCAATCCCTGGTATCAATACAGACTGGGGGATGAACGGATTGAGAGTAGCTCTGTGGAGAAGGACTTGGGGATATACTGGTAGACAAAAAATTGGTCATGAGCCGACAAAGTGCACTTGCAGCCTAGAAAGCCAATCACATCTTGGGTTTCATCAAAAGAAGTGTGGCCAGTAGGTCAATTGAGGTGATTCTCATCTACTCCACTCTTGTGAGACCCCACCTAGAGTACTACATCCAGCACTGAGGTCCCCGGTTCAAGAAAGACTTATAAGAAAGACAGGGACAGACTTTCTAGTAGAGCCTGTAGCAGTAGGACAAGGGGTAATGGTTGAAACTGAAAGAGGGTAGGTTTAGATTAGACATAAGGAAGAAACTGTTCACAGTGAGGGTGGTGAGACACTGGAACAGGTTGCACAGAAAAGTTGTGGATGCCTCATCCCTGGAAGTTTTCAAGGTCAGGTTGGTCAGGTCTTTGAGCCACTTGATCTAGTGTAAGATGTCCCTGCCTATACTGTTTTCGGTTTTGGGCCCCTAACTTCAAGAAAGACATTGTGGTGCTGGAGCATGTCCAGGGAAGGGCAAGGAAGCTGGTGACAGTTCTAGAGAGTAAATCATATGAGGGGCAGCTAAGGGAGCTGGGGTTGTTTAGCCTGGAGGAGACTCAGGGGCAACCGTATCCCTCTCTAAAACTACTGGAAAGGAGGTTGGGCCAAATTTTCAGTCTCATCCACATTCTTATGCATACAAGCATCCCCAGTGAACTGCACTGGTTTTGGCTGGGTGTCCTGGGTTACACAAAGACTGTGGCATCTACCTTTTCTCTTTTCTCCAAATATGCCTACTAATTTAGAATGTGAGGGAGGGAGTTAAGATAAGGGTGGTACTCTATTATCCTAGGAGAAGAATGTATCCACCAGTGTGAAAAGATTGGAAGGCTGATGGCTCAGAGGGCATGCACACCTACCACCTCAGGCTACAAACTGGTTATTGTTTCTTTGTCCTTACACAAATGACTCATCTGTGATAACTCCCCTGGGGGAGACATCAGGACAATTCACACACATGGCCTAAAGGTATTCATCTTTGCTGATGGCCATAATGAATCCACCTGTGCTTAGAAGGTGTCAAAGACTCTTTAAATGTCCTCTGATCCAGTATTAATCATTCAGTGAAGAACTTCCTGCCCCAGGGGAGGTATCAGAGGCATTCTTACCTACCCTGAGCCCAATAAAAGACCACACTCTGCACATCAAAGGTCTCCTTCCCTCACTCCAGGGGACTTCTACCACCCGGGACTTCCACCACCACCTCAGCAGATCAGGACTACAACCACCATATGAGTTGTAGCAACCAGGTCTCATTGCTGGATCTGGCAGATGTCTCATGGGTCCTTCCAGTAACAGCCCTGCTCCAACAGCCTGTGCCAGCACTGCAGCCTGTGAAATCCTGGATCTGAATCTCACTGAATTATTGATATGGGTCAGAATCAACTCGTGTGTGTGTGCATGTGGGGAAGGGCTGTGCCTAGACCTACAGGTACATGGAAAGGCCTGCACATAAGGCCTGTGCTGAGGGCACATGGTAGAGCTGGAAGGCAAGGCCTGCTGCCCATGCAGAGCACATGGCATGGCTGAAGGCCCTGCAGACCTGCCTGGTAAGCCTGCCCACACTACGCCCCTGCAGCCTGTGACTGGCTATAGCACAACCCACTCTGGCCTGGAAGGTCCTGCCTGGGAGGGAAAACGGAACTCTATAAATACATGAGACTCCATGCGGTCTCTCTTCTCTCTCTCTTCTCCCTCTCCAACCAGAACCATGTGAATCATTGAATCTTGTTGATAACTATTCTCCTCTCCTTTCTCTCCTTCTCTCTTTCTTTACCCCTTTTAATCTGTTTTCTTCTGTTACTCTTTTCCTTCTCTTGTGGGTAACTTAAAACCATTGAACTGTGTTTTACTAAAGCTGGTATATGGATTGTTTTAGTGGATGTTTCCTGTGGAATGGGTCTTTGTGCTGAATGTTTTAGTAAAATGCTTTCTTGGTTGTATTTTACTCCTGTAAAAACCTTTTGCCAAAATATCTTATGTTTTTCACTAAATTAAAAAGAATTTCTCTTAGAGAACAGTGTGTGACTCTTTCTCCGGACGCTAATTAGAAGTTATAACAAACCAAAAGGCTTTAAAAAAAGTCTTAAAAATGTAACCGTTCTGGGCAGTTTATAGTTTAATCCAGAGTGCAACACAGCCTCACTAGAGCACTGACCCTCCAAACCATTCCTGACAGGTTTTAATGGGTGGGGGGAAGCCAAGCACCATCTCATTTTGGTCCAGTGGGTGGGAGTTTGGGAATTTTTCTGGTTAGTTTAGCCCAGTTTTCTCAATATTGTTTATCATTCTTCTTGATAAAGAGTTATTTTTTCACTTACATCCAGGCATATTTGGTCTCTCTCTCTGTATTGGAGAGAACCAGGGGTACTGAATTCGACGAAGAAGGCTTCCATCTGAGGTCTCTGCCCCTCCAAAATGTCTCAAACCGAGACATCAGGATAGAGTTAATTTTCTTCACAGTGGCTGGTATGTGGTTTTGTTTTGGATTTGTGCTGAAAACAGTGTTGATAACACAGGGATGTTTTGGTTATTGCTAACCAGGGCTTATCAAGGCCTTTTCTGCTTTTCACACTGCCTTGCCAGCAAATAGGCTGGGGGTGCACAAGAAGTTGGGAGGGGTCACAGCTGGGACAGTTGATCCCAACTGACCAAAGAGATATTCCATACCATATGATCTCATGCTCATCAATAAAACTAGGGGGGACGTTGGCAGGGGGGTTACTGCTCAGGGACTGGATGGGTAGCGATGCCTTTGGATTTTTAGGATTTTTAGAGTTTTGTAGATTTTAAAGGAGCTGTGTAGTAAATATAGATTTTTAGCATTGTTTTATAGTCTCTCACACTTTAGAATAGTAGTTAACACTTACCAAACCCTATTCCCCACATCATATAGAATCTTCTAAATTCTTTAGGTTTGTTTAGGCTCCTTTTAAGGTAGGACTATAGTAAATACATCTTCTTTAAGAACATTTGCACCCCAGGCCTGAACAACAAGATACCATCATAGTCAAGAGCAATCTTCAAGCCTGGAACCTTGGAGAAACTCCAAAGACAGTACGTGCCTTGAAGAAGAGGAAGAGGAGGAAGATGAGGAAGAAAGGGGTCTTGTGACCTCCAACTCAATTTCTGGGGAGGTGTTCCAGGGGGCAGATTTGGGGCAGGATCTAGGGGTGGATAGTTCTCAGATCAGACCAAAAATTGTGGAACCCCTGGACACAGGTGCACATGCCTTTGTACTCCTTGCACCAGAAGACCTTCATTAAAGACCTGTTCTCTATCTTATCTATACTAATATTGTCTACTGTGTCTTTTTCTCTGGTTTTTAGGCAACAGCAGCTGGACTGGCTCAGTCAGTTCGTGGTGAGCAATTGCTTACATTTCCATCATTTGTCTTTCTTGGATTTTATTTCCAGTCTCTTTGTTATTTTTTTCTTTTCCTTATAATTTATTATTCCTATCAGTATTATCACTATTATTTCTATTTTAAAATGAATAAACTGTTTTTATGTCAACCCACGAGTTTTCTCACTTTTCTGATTCTCTCCCCCATCCCACTGGGTGAGAGTGAGCTAGTGTTTCCGTGGTGCTTAGTTGCCAACTGGGGTTAAACCATGACAGCACTCAATACTATTCACATGTACAAAATTAAACTAAATGTAAATATTTTCAAGACAAAGCCATGTATTACTGATTCTGCCAACATGCTTTTTGCTACAGAAACATGTCAGCATGCAGGAACATCATAGTGATTAAGAAATATCCCCAAAGATTTAACGTAGTTCTGAAGTACTTACTGTAGCTGGGGAGGTTCGTGTTGTATGAGTCACTGAATGACCAGAATTTTCCATTGAATTGCCAATCAGATAGGTCCCTCCTGAGCTGCTAATGAGCTGTCCTCCTGCAACACCCATCTGAATCCCTCCGGTGCCCACCATACTATGAGAGGAGACCACTGTAGTTGCCTGTGCAGAACTTCCTTGAGTATCGAAGTAATTTCCCCCAGTGTTTTGGCTATACATCTGGGTTTCCGTGTAAGGATAAGTTGATCGACTTCAGGAAAAGAAAATAAAAGAAGTAGTAGTTATTTATTTTGATTGCTTAAGTGAGGGAAACATAATTATAGAAAAGAGTGTACAGTTGCTGTAACCAAACTTAATAAGATTGGCAAAGAACCCCTGCATCTACACAAAATAGCATTTCATATGTCAAAGTACTGAGTAATTAACTTGGACTCACTGTTAAAATAAGTATTCATTAAACTTAACAGAAAATGGTTTTAGTCCCATCTGAAGAGGGGTGGAGAAAAGTATGACAAAAATTGAAGATGTGAGAGGGAGATAATATAATATATTATATAGTAATTTATCAAACTGCTGTAACTTTTAAAATCCTACTGTTGAAGCTGGATTTTTATTCATATACCATTTATTTTGTATACTGTTCTTCTGGTTTCAGCTGGAATATAGATAATTTTCTTCCTAGCAACTGGTTCAGTGCTGTGTTTTGGATTTAGGATTAGAATAATGTTGATAATACACTGATGTTTTAGTTGTTAAGTAGTGCTTATATTAAGTCAAGGACTTTTCAACTTCTCATGCCCTGCCAGCAAGAAACACAGCCAGGACAGCTGACCCCAACTGACCAAAAGGATATTCTGTGTGTCCACTTGCAACCCAGGATGCCAACTGAATCCTGGTCTGCATCCAAAGGAGTGAGGGATGTGATTCTCCCCCTCTGCTTTGCTCTTGTGAGACCCCCAACTGGAGTACTGCATATGGTTCTGATGTCCCCAACATAAGAAGGACATGAAACTGTTGGAGCAAGTCCAGAGGAGGGCCACAAAGTTGATAAGAGGACTGGAGCACCTCCCCTATGAAGACAGGCTGAGAAAGTTGGGGCTGTTCAGCCTGGAGAAGAGAAAGTTGCATGGACACCTCATAGCAACCTTCCAGTATCTGAAGGGGACTACAGGGAAGCCAGAGAGGGACTCTTCATCAGGAACTGTAGTGATAGGACAAGGAGTGATGGGTACAAATTGAAAAAAGGGAAATTTAGGTTAGATATTAGGAAGAAATTTTTTTACTGTGAAGGTGGTGAGATACTGGAACAGGTTGCTCAGGGAGGTTGTGGATGCCCCAACCCTGGCAGTGTTCAAGGCCAGGTTGGATAAAGCTTTGAGTAACATGGTCTAATGGGAGGTGTCCCTGCCCACGGCAGGCGGGGTTGGGACTAGATGAACTTTAAGGTCCCTTCCAACCCTTAACATTCTGTATATAAACTGGGGGGGAGCTCACCAGGGGACTGGAATCACAGCTCAGGGATGGGATGGGCATGGGTCAACAGGTGGTGAGCCATTGCATTGTGCATCACTTGTTTTGCATATTCTATTTTTTTTAATCTTCTTTTGTTGTCCTAGTAAACTTTCTTTATCTCAAAACATGAGGTTTATTTTTCAAAGAATCATAAAATCATCAAGGTTGGAAAAGACCTTTAAGATCAAGTCCAACCTTCAACCTCAACAATTGTCAAGTCCAATTGTCAAACCTTTTTTTCCCAATTCTCTTCCCCCTCCCACTGCAGGGAGGGAGGAGCAAGCGAACAGCTGTGTTGTGCTTTGTTGCTGGCTGGGGTTAAACCATGACAATTGTGTACATTACAAAACTAAATGTGACAAAAAAATATCAGCCAAGATGGTCCTATATACAAGAATTCTATAAATGTTTTGTATTGATTTTAAATTCACTGAAACTCTCTGGTCAAAGTTTGAAATTATAAGCACAGTTGTATTTTAAGACATTCAGTTAGTTCAGCAGAGTGAAATTTTAAATTGGACAGCAATATGTACAGTGTTATGATGAAAAAGAAAAAAAACTAAAATAGAATTACAATTTGTGAAGGGCTTTGTGAAGAGAGTAAAAAATTCAGAGGAACATCAGTAATTTAATACAATTCTTTCCAACTATTAAACATTTTAACCTAATTAACCAGTTAATCTTAAACTTTTCACTTAACTCATGAACTTTATGTCATTCTTTACTTCATGTTTATAATGACTTGAATCATTATCCTTTAATGGTTTATAATCTATTATGAGCTATTGAACATAGTGGATATTTGGTCCTATGTACTAACTTGGTGTTTCAAATTATTATAACTCAAAATACACAAATAAACAATACTCATTAGTTTTTCTAAAATGAAGAATCTGGATTTTGAAGTAGTTAAAAATTGTAGCCAACTTTTCAACATCAACAAGCTTTATATTATGGCTTGTATTTCAATACAATAAGTAAATGACAAAAATTAGTTTATTTACCCAGATGATAATTTTGACATTTAATCATAAAATCCTATAATTCTTCTTAAAATCAACTGGCACTGACATTTTGAATCCATAACAATAAACAAGTCAGAACTTCTGTGGTATTAACAATGGTCATCACGAATTCTCTCCTGTTCTTCGGAGACAACAAAAATCTCTAAAACTTAATTTTAATATCCCAAAAGCTTTTCGAGTTATGTACTATGTTACTTGTTTTCAGTTACATAAGATAATTTAAAATCTTTTGGTTTATTCTTGGTATTTCAAAAGCTTTAAAAGCAGATGAAATTCACAGTTAATCTTGAGGGACTATGTCTAATGAAAAAAAAAATTAAAAAAAAGGGGGAGCAGGAGAGGTGAAAGGCTTCAGAACCTGTATAGTCATCTAGTAGTATCTTCTTTTAAGAGCTAGAATCAAGTCATATTTTACATTGCAATAACATGTATGTAGGCAAGATGGTTTGGAGAAATCTTCTTGGATTGATTTTATTAAACTGGGGCATCACTGAATGTCTCCAATGGATGGTAAATCAAGCATTTGTTAACCAGAGTAGATGTTATATATTTCTTAGAACCAGACAATGTAATAAACAGCTCTATTTAATAGAGAGTACTTAAGGAGAACACGATATGGGGAAACAGTTCAACAAATGGGGGGTGGAACACTGGAATTTCCCACAAAAAGGGAAAGATAAAATAAAGGAAAGATTGATGCAATTCCTAGAGAATGCCCTCAATTATTCAGTTCATTTCTCCCTCTCTTCTGTAGGCTATAATTAACAATACTGGAAAGATTGATCTGTCCAACTGACAGGGAGTGAATAATTATATTCCTAACTCTTTGTAACAAGACAGAAATGTTCCATTAGGAGGGTGGGATAGGGGGAAAACAACCAAGCTCCTCCCTCCCAGTATTTACAACTTTGAAATTAAGAGGCTCCAGTCGAAAGGTGCGGAAAAGAAAAACAACAGATCTTTGCTAAAGAATATATATAGAGATATATAGGTAATGCAACAAACAAACAAGCAACAGTCCTGTAACCCAACTTTCACAGAAAACAATTAAGCACTTCTTTGCCTTTCAGCACAGTTATAACCACAGCCAGCAGGGGGCGCTGGCACCTCGTGAGGCAGGGGCTGCAGTTGCTCTCTGATGGTTAACAGGGGGCTCTGTTGGGCTCTGGCGGCTGCCCCAGCCACTAGGTCCAACACACGGGAGGCAGCCAAGTGGGTCCAAGGCACTGGAAGGGAGAGGACTCACACTGGCAAAGGCTGGCTCTGGTTGTGAATTCCCTTCCTCGTCAAAGGGTGCAGGCTGCTGATGTCAGGGGGAAAAAAAAGAGGGGAAGAGCGATCCTTCCCCCCAAAGGCTCCCCCACACTGACTTTTCAATGAATTTGAGGCAAATCCAGGCAGTAGAGCAGAGCAGAGTGCGGGAACTCAGATGTGAAACGGGATCTCCCTCGAGGACAGAAGAAACCCAGCCACCCATCCGAGAAGACAAACTTCGACCCCTTCCCCAAACCACTCCCCGAGAGCCTCACAGAAACCAAGTCCCTCCCCCTTGCCTCCCCCAGTTGTAGCTACTGGTGGGGGAGAGGGAAGGCGGGGACGAGGGTAAGGGGATGGTTTCTCCCTTAGCTGTTTAGCTGGTGTGGTGAGGTTATTTGGCATTTCAATGAAGCAGTCCTTAAGCCCTGGCCTCACATAACTTTGGCGTCTTAGCTTGCTACCAAGAAGATTTTGGCATGGAAAAAATTCAGTAGGAAAAAGCAAAAACGGTATAGAAGTATAACACTCTTCAGAAATAGATTTAAATTTTATTCCTATTTCCAGATCTCATGATTTATTATTACAAACACATTTGCATTTCATAAAATAGATTAGATGCCAAATTATTTTTTGTCTGATGATGATATGCAAAAAAGATGAAATCTAAGAACTTAATAACTCTCTGGAAAAAAATTTTCTCCACAAAAAAGCTAAACAAAACTGATAATTTGTTTAATGAAAAATTGAAATGGTATAACTTTTGAAAATTAAAACAGTGAAATTACAACCCTGAGCTTGAGAAGAGCAGATTCTGGTCTGTTCAGGGCCCTGCTTGGCAGGATCCCATGGGAAACTGCCCTGGAAATAAAAGGGGCCCAGGAGAGCTAGCTGATCTTGGAGAACAGGAATGTTACAATCCAATCAGTAGAAAGGCAAGCATAGAATGAATAGAAAGATAAGCCTACAATTATAGAATCATAGAAAAGCCCAGGTTGGAAAGGACCTCAAAAGATCATCTGGTCAAACCTTTTGTGGGAAAGGGAGTCTAGATGAGATTATCAAGCACCCTGTCCAATCGCATCTTGAAAACCTCCAATGATGGGGATTCTACCCATGTCCCTGGGGAGGTTGCTACAGTGATTAAATGTTCTCACTATAAAAAATTTCTTTCTTATGTCATGAGAAAGTTTCTCCCAGTGCCACTTTTACCCATTTCACCTTGTCTTCTCCATATGACTCCTTGTGAAGAGAAACTTTTAGTCCTCTTTGTAGTTGCCCTTTAAGTACTGGAATACTTTAATTTCCACCCTTCACCTGGTTGGTTAACCGCTGCCAACAGGCATCTTCTGGTGTGGTCAAATAAAGTTAAAGAGACAAAGGCATATACCTGCCTTCAAAGGTGGGTCCAAATTGACACTTGCATGCTGGAACATCAGATCCATGCTTGGTACTGCAG